ATTTAAAGACAAGGTCTCACTGAGTTATTTAGGGCCTCACTAAGTTGCTGAGGCTGGCTTTGGATTTACAATCCTCCTGCTTCAGCCTCCTGAGCCACTGGGATTATAGGCATGCCCCACTGTGCCCAGCTTGGCTCATTTTTAATTAAGGTCAACCTAGTAATTTCTTTGAAAATATAATTAGATAATTTAGACTTAGTAATGAGTTTAAATATAAGCTTTTTAAAAATTTTGGTTTTATTAAAAATTTATTGATAATCCTGATGCTTTAGATTATATAAATACACTTGTTCAAATGTTAACACCAAGGCAGTGTTTTTATGTAATTTTAAAGATGGAGAATTTTTTAAAATATCCAGGATACATCATGAATGTACTTGTGACTTTATATATTTTTCTCTATATTGCTGATACACTCTTCTTTAGTATTCATTTATATACTTAAAATAGTAAGAAACTATTATAAAGTTCTCATCATTCTAGATTTCAGTAGTGAAATGTGTCTCCTTTGGATTTGGATTAATAATTGTTGAATTTTAGGCTAGTAGTTTAAAGTAGTAATCTTTTAAAACTTCTCCATGAACAACAAGTTAAGATGAAAGATACATATTGCATAGAATCAAGTTAAGAATACAACCGTTCATAATATAAAGAGCTAAATTTCTGTTTCCCCTGAAAATATGGATACCTAGGCTAAAACCGATGGCATTGCTATGAGTTTTATTCACATTGTCTAAGACTTTGTAACTTACAAAATGTTTTCCTGTGTAATGCCTCATTTGATTTTGTGATTTCTTGAAGTTTTTCTCTTTTTTGTACCCTAAGAGAAGTAGTGTACACTTTTTGTTCTTCTAATGATTCCAAGTCAAAATAGCATTGTATTTATTTTTAAATGAATGAGGACAGACAGTAAGTAACAAGTGTTGGTGAAGATATGAAGACATTGGAATCCTCACTCACTGTTCATGGGACTATAAAATAATGCAGCTGTTATTAACACTACTAAATGTACTTAACAATAAAATACTGATAGGTCCTACAACATTTGTGAACTTTGAAGATATTATGCTTGGTGAAAGAAGCCACATTCAAAGACCAAAAACAGTATAGTGATTTCTCAAAAAATTAAAACCAGAATTACTATATCATCTAGCAATTCTACTTCTAGGTAAAGATTAAAAGCAAGATCTCTGGATAAAGATCACAAGTAAATTCTCATAGAAATACCTATACACCCATGTTCATAGCAGAATTATTCACAGTTGCCAAAAGGTGGAAGTGTCTACTGATAGATGAGTGGATGAACAGATTGGCATACACATGATGATTAAATATTTAGCCTTGAAGGAAATTCTGACATGTGTTAAAATAAGGATGAACCTTTTAGGACACAATGCTAAATAAAATAAGCCAGTCAAAAAGAACAAATATTGGGCTGGGGATTTGGCTCAGTGGTAGAGTGCTTGCCTAGCATGTATGAGGCACTGGGTTCTATCCTCAGCACCACATAAATGTAAAATAAAGATATTGTGTCCACCTAAAACTTAAGAATAAATATTTTTTATTCTCTTTTATAAAAAAAGAGAACAAATATTGTACAATTTCACATTTATAAGGTATTCAAATTCACAGCGATAAAATAATGGTTGTCAGGAGCCAAAGGGAAGTGGGGATATTGTTTGATGGGCACAGAGATTCAGTTTTGCAAAATGAGGTGTCTGGAGATGGATGGTGGTGGTTGCACAACTATCTATACTTAACACTGCTGAATATACTTAATACTACTGACTTGTACATCTAAAAATGGTAAAGATGGTAAATGTTATGGTATATGTATCTTACCACAATAAAGATGAGAAGAAGAATGAAGCTAGACAATGTAAATTTTGGTGAGGATATGGAAAAATTGGAAACCTCATTCATTTTACTTGTATGAATGTAAAATGATAACAACACTGTTACTGTTGAATGTAATTGGGAGTTCACTGTAAGGTTAAACAGAGTTGCCCTATGACCCCCAATCCTACTCCTTTGTATATATATCTAAAAGAAATTAAAACATATATTCACATTAAAAACTTGTACTCAACTGTTCGTAACAGCATTATTTCTAATAACAAAAAATAGATAACCCAGATGTCGTTCAACTGATAATAAATAGCAAAATGTAGTATATATAAGCAATGGAAAAATATTCAGTATATAGAATGATTATGTACTGATAAATGCTATAGTAAAGGTGAACTTTGAAGATACTATGCTAGGTAAAAGAAACCATACACCAATGCTGAATATCATGTGATCTCATTTATATGACGTTTCCAGAATAAGAAAGTTCATAAATATAGAAGAAAATATATTATTGTTTTCCAGGATTGGAGGATAAAGGGAAATATAAAATATAGAGTGCTTGCTAATGGATGAAGTCGTCTTTTTGGTGTAATGAAAATGTTTTGTAATTAAGTAGTAGTAATGGTTGCACAGTCTTATGAATATACTAAACACCACTAGCTTGTGTACTTTAAAATGGTGAGTTTTATGATATGTGGATCATAGCTCAATTTTTAAAATGTATTAAACTTAAGAATCAAAAGAATCCCATGGGGCTGGAGTTGTAGCTCAGTGCATGCTTATACGTGTGAGGCACTGTGTTTGATTCCCAGCACCACATATAAATAAGCAAATAAAATAAAGGCCCATCAACAACTAAAATAATATTTTAAAAAAAGAATCCCAAGCTTAATTATGCTATTTCAGTGAAAAACCTAAATTTCATTTAACTTCTCCCCATCCTTCACCTTTCTCCTACCAAATGATCTTTTCTATTGTTACGCCCCAATATGCCTTGCATTCTAGCTACCAGATGACTTATAGTTCCCAAATGCAGTATGCCACACCATTCCCATTTTATTGTTTACCCAGAACATCTTCACCTTATCATCTTATCATCTTCAACTTATCCCAACTTTTCTGTTTCTGGCAAACTCTGCTCACACCTCAAAACTCTTTGTAAGCATCTCCACCTCTTTGGAGTTTTCTCTTACCAACCCTAGCAGAATTGATTACTTTTTCTTTTCACACAAACTTAGTTCATCTACACTATGTGACATTAACTTTTTTGCATTTTTGTCTCCCCTACTAAAATGTCACCTGTTTCATGGCAAGAACTACCTGTTACTCATTACCCCTGAAGGAATACAGTTCTTAGCAAATAATAGGTGCCTGACAGTGAGAATAATGTAATTATAATAACTGTTTTTAGTACTATGTTCCAGATATTATTCAATGTAGTTTACATTTATTAATTTAATCATTGCCACAATCCAATCAGTTACTCCAGCACAGATTGCTTAAATAGCTTCCTCAAAGTTGCTCAACAAGTAAGTCGTAAGACTGGGATTTGAACACAGACAGTCTGACCCAAAAGTGAGTCTGTGTTCTTAACTAGTATGCAGTATAGTATCAAATGTATCTGTAAATGATTACACACACAATAAATTTAAAATTTTACTCCCTTGTACTTTTACCTTTAAATAGCATCTGTTTTAAGGAGTTACATACATTATTTTATTCATTTGAGTTGCATAGATACTAATATAATCTTGATGCAGTTTTGAAGTAATTCCCTCTAGTATTTTTTCCTCTAACATAGTAGAGATGAAAGAAATCAACCACATAATAAAGATTGATTTACATGGAAAAGTGTGCCCAATACTCATGCCCACTGCTAATAAAGTTGTTTGTTGCTTTTGTGAAGAGTGATGGAGATAATGGTCCTGTGTTAGTATTTTAGCAGATGGAGCATCATTCAAAACCTGGAAATGTTTTATCAGTTTTAAAAGTGTTACTGTATTTGGTATATGTGGTTGCCTTACAGGTATAACCTAAAATTTTTCAGTAGAGCAAATGAGTTTATATTTGAAGGTAGAGAACAGTGCCATTTCCTTCTGTTAATTAGCATGCCAAACATATCAATTTATGTAAGCCATTATTTTTGATAACTAAAAGTTAACTGGTAGACAATACATTTTCTTATTTTACTACTATTAGTTTCTATTTATTGACTGTCCTAAGTCTTTAGTAAGAATTAAGGAGCCTGAGGCAGAAATAGTCTGGTGATTTTCATTATTAAGGCATAGTAGTTATATTATTCTTCCTTTTCATCTTAATTTTCCCAAAAGAATACTTCTCTTGCTTAATTTACTTTCTTGATAAGAATGAAAAGAACAATAGTGCTACTGCATTGATTAAATGATTTGTTGGCACAAACACTAGTGGGGCGTATCTAAATGACTGCTTTAATAACAGCATTAAAGTTTCACTTTGGTTTCTTATAGCACACCCCTACAAAGTTAGTTTAACCAATTTGTCTACCCAGGGAATCTGTGAAATGGTATTTTTTACCCACTAACACTTTTTATGTTCATTCTCTAGAGTTACAACTTGTAAGTGAAAATATCCAACAAATATTAAGAACCTCATTTGACCAGGCACTTTTCTTCCCCATAAAATTTCCATACTGCCTACATTTCTTCATGGCCTTTCTTGAACTCTCTTCTAAGTTTCTCCCTGCAACTTTCCTGAACATGAAGACTTTCCTTTCCTCTCCACTTCTAGCTTTCCTTTCTCTGTGCCTCATGTACACTTGAGGTGGCAGGGATTTAGCATTGGTCATGCCAGCTTCTACAGATCACATCTCTGTCTATAGTTTGGTCTCCATGGTAATGAGAAGCAGAAACTGCTGAAGTAGCACACTATGTAAGGGCTGGCAAGAGAAAATAGAGCCGTGGCCTTACAGGAATAGCACTTAATCCCCATGGAGCGCAGAAGCCAGAGAGAATCATGCTGTTATAGTGCAGGAGGCTCCCTCATTTAAGGACACAGAATTGGCAGATTTATTAGCCTCCGTAGACTAAGATGAACCTAATTTACAGTTTGTAAGTGCTTCTCTTCAATTGGAAAAAAAACCTTTAAAAATTGTTTTCCTTCTTCTCTTTCAGAAGGCCAGATGCTCCAGTGCCTGATGGTGAAAGTGAAAGGACTGTAGAAGAAAGTTCAGATAGCGAGTCTTCTTTCAGTGACTAAGCTGAATTTTGATAAAAATTACATATACATGTGTAAGGGTACGTTTACATTCTATGAGAGAGTCTGACTCTCTTCATCATAGAAAACATCAAATAGCCACATATTTACCACCAAGCTTCTTCATGTTAAAAAAAATAAAGCATTTATAACCTGCAAGTATGTCTTGTTACCAAAATAAGGGTTCTGAAATCAAAAATTGAATAACCTCAATTGCAACTAGTGTTTTAAAATGAAGGTAAGCTATTCCAGGAATGCAGTGAGCATTATAGAATGAAGTTAATGTGAATATTTTAGAATGGAAAGTTATGTACATTTTTATTCTAAAAATTGTTAAAGAAATTTCTGATAGAAGATAATATTGGAATGAAATTGTGACAACTTGAAACTTATATGTCATATCTATTATGGATCTGGAACTTATTGATAGTATTTATTAGTATGCACATTACCCCTTGGCCAGTAGTTCATATGAGTATGAAAGTGAGATATTTTTATTTATTTTCAAGTAGAAATATTGAAGGTAGTTATAATGTGGTTCAGAGTAAGCAAGCATCATTGTCACCAGCTTCTTTATTGCCTAAACCGGAAAACTTCATTTGCACAAAATTAAAATGCTCTCACCTCGACTTGCAAAAAAAATTCTTCATAAACAAATATTTTTTTGTTTAATATCTAGAAAATCCCCAAAATACTTAGATGAAGAGACATAAATGCATTTGGTTAGTGGTTCTCAACCTAGTTTAGGTCACCTGAAAGTAGAGTCAGAGAAAAGATTTGGATGTCTGGAGGTCATTTGTGAGGTGATCTCAGGAAGCCTAAATAAGAACATGGAGAAGAAGGAGAAAACCAATATGAAGATGTATTGTATTATCAAGGTTACTATTTTGGTCTTGAGTGCTCTAAGACCTCCTAAGAAGCTTATAGACTGCCTCCCAATATTGTCCACCTGATAGAACTGCAGACATTTAATTAGCAGTTTTCATTACCCATTATAGTTGAGAGTTGCTGCCAGGGGCATTAACTTCCCCTACATTTCTGGGCTGTACTGTTTTTTTGGGGGGGAAACAGTATCTCCCAATATTGAAGCAGGACTTGGAATAGCAAGCAGATCAAGATGCTCATGCTTACATTGGCATTTCACTGACAAGAAGGACAAACCTGAGCTTACTTAGAACTATCCAGGGAAACTATGGCTGCTACTAGAAGCAGAAAAGAAGTAATGTGGAGCAAAAGAGGTGTTTGCTGCTGTCCACTTTTTGACCATTCCATATTAAGTCTACTCTGTCACCGAGACTTCTAGATGATGGCCAGCTGTAGCCTTCCTAAAAGACTACACAGGAAGATTAGTTGCAGTCTTTGTTGCTGCACCTCAATCCAGACCAAAACTATTATTATCATCTCCTTCCTTCACCACCCACTTTAGATTTCTCTTGGTCTGTGCCAGAAACTCTGCTGGACAAAGTTGGTTGCCTGGTAAAGAGACCTAAAAAGTTAAGTTCTCTTGTCCCAGAGAATGGTTATTTTGACCAATAAGGTCTCCTTTATCCAACCTTACATTCTGTCTCTCTGATCCAGTAAACTCAAAGATCTATTCTCACATGTTATCTAGCTTACTAGCAGTACTTAACCAGCCAGTTCCTGAAATCCTTTCAGTATGGAACCTATTTCTTCCCAGCTCAATAACTATATTTTCCCTCTCAGACGAAACCTGATATCATTTAATCATCTTGAAATAATGCCAGAGAGCAGAGTTGGGTCTTAGGGATGAGAGTTCTCTTATAAGTCACCAGCTTCAGGTAACACTCTGAGTGGTCTCCAGGTAAGGGGAGGCTCCTTTCCTTGATTGTGTAAGAAAGAGCTCTTTGGATGGTGTAGTGGGCTTAGAGGAAACCAGGGATTCAGGCCTCTGAAGCCCAGATTTTCTCATCCCATATCTCAGTCACACCCCTTTGCTATCAGGGCCCTGGCTTAGCAAAGTAAACTTGTTGAGGTTGTACCTCTCCTCTCCTTTACCATTTTTACACTCTGGGTCTGATTTTCCTGGACAGGAGGCCTTTTGGCTTCCACAGTATGCTCAGGGTTGATGATTGGCCAATCTGGGCCTGTCAATTTCTCTTCTCAAAATATCCAAGGCAGTTAACAAATGCTAGTGAGTTCCATAATCCTTTGCCCCCATGCTGTTCTAGTGACAGAACTACCAGTTACTCCATTACTTCTCACCCTATTCCACCATAGATGAGATTCACAGGAATTATGATGCACATGGAGGGCAATTACCATCCTTCTTAACCTAGAAATAGGAGTAAATGATCTAGTCCAGAATTCCATCCTAATGGATTTTCTTTCCAGAGTCACTTCTCATACCTAAAGCATACTCTGAGATAGATACTTGTATTTGTGAATCAACCCCAGGACGTAGAAATGAGAGCAACCAGAATGAAAGAGGGAAGAAAATCCAATACAAGGATATATTACTGAGCTAGCCATTGTGGGTACTTGAGATTTGATTTCAGTACTAGCACTCCTTACAAATGAATAATGCTTCCCAGAATTGCCCATCTGAAGACTGGAGGGTGGAGCATTTGTGCACTAGCCTAGGACTATTACTAGGGGGTATTACTCCCTACACTTGTGGGATCTTCTTGCTCATAGGCCTTGGGGTCTTCTGTGGCATTAAAAAGGACACTGAATTGGAGACTGGAGAATGAGGCTTTCATTTGAGATGGGTTGCTCCACCAAAAGATGAAACCCAAAAGATTGAGTACAACTCTCTATTACATCTGTGGTTGAACTCCAGGAGAGACCCAGAGATGTATTTCAGGGTATCACTAGAAGCAGCAGATATAGACAGTCTTCCTCCAAAATATTAGATTGACCCAAGCTTATGTTTATTTAAAATATATAGTTTCTTCTTGGATATAAAGACAAATTGGATCATAAGCCACACACAGGATTTCCAGAACTTCTTCATTAAAAGTTTTAGTTTTTAAAATCTTCCCCAAAATGAGCAGAGGATAAACAATAACTAAATCTATATCTTTATATTCTGTTATAATAGAATTTTTAAATGTTTCCTATTACACACATCTCATAGAGTTTTTCTGTGAAACTTTTATATCTGAACTAGAGCCTGGCTCTGGATATTGTGTCCATGTGCTCTTAAAGAGTGTCCAGACAATATAATGGTCAGTAAAATGCTTTTTTTTCTGATCATGTATGTTCTTCACAAAAACAATCTTGATATCTAGGGTTCATGAAGAACTTACATTCCAACAGTTTATTTATTGATTTATCTGTTAGAAAAGCATGATGGATTTACTTAATGAAATGGAATTAATACTCTGAGGTATATGGAGCAGACTGCTTCCAAGAGAGGATATGGCCTTGTGTATTCTACATTGTGGGCTTTTATGTCCTGCTTGGGATTCTCCCACTCTGAATTATTTATCTGAGGCGGTTACTACACTTTCCTGCATGGTTTAGTGTGCTTGCACTGATTTTGCCATGTTAGAAATTTTTGCAACATAGACTGTGCCCATTTTCTCCACAATGGCAGGAAGCTGTCTAACCAACCTCAAGAAGACAGTTCTTTGGCCAGTTGGGTGTTGCCTGGAACAGCCTGAATTTCCTTTCTCTACCTCTCTTGCTCATGTCTGCCTAACTACCTGTTCTAACATTCCCCCATCAAGGACTTGGAAATTCCCACAATTTAATCCTGTATTTTAATAGCTGTTGCAACAATGACAAGTTGTCTTTCAAAAAATTAACTTTTAAATTTTTTGTTGGTAAGATTAATAAGTGAAAGGACTGACAATAAAGCAAACGTCACACTGACTTGGTTAAAAATCTTAAGACATTTATTGTCCTTTGAAACATGAAGTATAAAGATTTTATTTGTGATTCCATTTTGTCTTTCCCCAAACAATATTACTTTAGATGGGCAGATATCAAATACTTCTAAAAAATCACTTTATAGTAGCTACAAATTATTTACTAGACAATTGTGTATACTTATCTTCAAATTGATATAAAACTCTTCAGAATTAGTTGAGATTAAAAACAATTTTGAAATAATTTCTAAGAATTGGAATAAAAGTATATTTAAGTCTAGAAGAAATCTTAGCAAATATCTAGTCTGAATAACTTGAGGCCCTGAAGAGTTTGAATAATTCTCCCAAGAAAGGAAAGGGGGAATAAAAGATTTGTTTATATGAATAAATTGCTTAACTTCACAAAAAATTTTACATTATCAGCGCTTTTAATTATCCATACAAAAGCAAAGTACTTAAAATTTCAGTAATCTTATTAATCTGCAGTGAAGTTTTCATACACTTCTTAAGGACATTTTAGTGTGGATCTCTTAATTTTTCATTGGCTTTGAAATATGTAACCATGTGGCAATCAAGTAAAGCTAATTCTGCATTTTCACAGGGGCCTCTTAACTATACCAATTTATATTTTATTGTATGCTCATTCTAGCTTCAAACCTTAGAAAATCTGGAGAAACCTGGAAACATATATTGTATTCTTTTATTGTATTTTAATATTTTGTATATATTTATATATATATATATTATACAAATAAATTGTATATATTTAAGGAGAATAACAAGATGATTTGATATACATATATATTATGTTATTGTTACCACAGTCAAATTAATTAACTCATTCATCATGAACCATAGTTACCTCTTACCTGGGGGTGTGGTGAAGACACAAAATGGCCAGTATAGTCACAGTAGTTCTATAAAAACCAATAAAAAAACTCCATGAGTTAAAATATGACAAAATTTCTTGAAAGACACAAACTGTAAAAGCATTTGTATATATAAAATAATCTGAATAATTTTTATTTGTAAAAGAAATTTAATATATAGTTAAACGTGTTGCCATAGGGAAAACTGGATAACCACATGGCTTCAGTAGTGAATCCTACCAAACATTTAAGAAAGAAGTGATGCCAATTTTACATAAACTCTTCCAGGAAACTAAAAGATTAGGGAACTCCTTCCTAAGATATGCTATGAGACCAGCATTAACCAAGAACAGAAAAAGGAATTACAAGAAAAACCGATTTTATAGAAATTGACACTATAAAATTCATATGCAAGTGTAAAGAAATAGCCAAAACACTTTAAAAATGAACAAAGTTTGATGACTACAAATACCAATTTTAAGAGTTACCATAAAGCTACAAAATTCCACAAAGTGTGATATTGATTTACAGATGGACAAATAGATGAATAGAGCATAATATAGAGCCTAGAAGCATGCCAACACATATATGGTACTAATTTTCAGTAAACATGCAAAATCACTCTGTAGGGGAAAAAAAATCAGAAATGCAAATGGTGATGGAACAATTGGATATCCATATATTGACTCTTATGCAAAATTAATTGACAATGTATCATAAACCTAAATGTGAAACCTAAAACTGTAAAGTTGAGGGCAGGGGAGAATGTGATTTTAAGTTGGGCATAGATTTCTTAAATCTAATACCAAAAACATAATCCATAAAAACCAAGTTGATAAATTGTAACACAAAAAGAAGTTGTTAACACTTTGGAAGACACAAGAGAATGAAAAAACAAGACATAGACTAGGAAAAAATATTTGCAAAATATCTGATAAAAGACTAATCTCTAGGATTAGTCAAACTCAACAACAAAAAAAGACAAAAGATTTAAATAGATAATCTCGACAAAGAAGGTACACAAATGACAAATGCTTAATATTTCTCATTAAGAAAATGCAAATTGCAACTGTAACAAGTTACAATTGTACACCAAATAGAGTAGCTAAAATCTAAAAGGTGGAACATGTGAAATACTGGCAAGGATGTGGAGGATTTGAAAAAGCATTTATATATGTGCACAAACTATCCATCTAGCTACCTACTTATATATCAAAGAATATCCTACATATAGTAATAGGAGTTCATGAAGAAAAAAACCAACAGTGCAATAAAACACTATAAAGCATTATTCAAAAAACTTTTCTAAAATAAAAAGATTACATATTGAAATTACTTATTGAAAAGACACACCATGTAACCCAGAGCAGTTAATTTTTCTAAACCTACTTTACTAAACCTATTAGACATTAGGAAAAGGGAAAAAATGTTCTTTGGGCATCAAGGTAAAAACAGACCAAGTCACTTCTAAATGAAATAGGATTAAATTATCATCAAACTTTTTTTTCTTGTTGAGATTGAGATTGCCCAGTTTGGCCTTGAATTTATGGTCCTCCTGCATCAACCTCCCAAGCTGCTGGAATTGTAAGCATGTACTACTGTTCACAGCTTCAACAAATTTTTTTGATGCAATAGCTTATATTAAAAGCTACAGGAGAGGGAGAAGGGGAATAGCATGGATTGTGAAAGGAGACCCTCATCACTATACAAAATATATGTACGAAGATGTGAATTTGGTGTCAACATACCTTATATAATCAGAGATATGATAAATCATGATATAATGGTGTATTAAGAATTGTAGTGAAAAAATAAAATATTTTTATAAAAAGCTACTGGAGTAACACATTTAAGATACCAAAAGAGCCAGATGCAGTAAAGCACACCTGTAATCCCAGTGACTCAGAAGGCTGGGGCAGGTAGATTGCAAGTTCAAGGCCAGCCTCAGCCATTTAGCAAGGCCCTAAGCAATTTAGCAAGACCCTGTCTCAAAAAATAAAAAGGACTGGAAATGTGGTTAAGTAAGTATCATTGTTTTTCAATCCCTGGTACAAAAAAAAATGCAAAATAGAGAAAATATGAGCTAAGTATTTGTTTTAGTCAGTTTTTTAAAAAAATATTTGTTTATTTTTTTAGTTTTAGGTGGAAACAATATCTTTATTTTCTTTTAGGTGGTGCTGAGGATCAAACCCAGTGCCTCATGCGTGCCAGGTGAGCACGCTACCACTTGAGCCACATCCCGAGCCCTTAGTCAGTTTTTTCACTGCTGTGACTAAAGGATCTGACACAAACAACTATAGAGCAGAAAAAGTTTATTTGAGGGCTAACGGTTTCAGAGGTCTTAGTCCTTAGAAGGCCAGGGCTCAAAGTGAGATTGAACATCACAGCAGGATAGGGTGGCAGATGGAAGCAGCTCATATCACAGTAAACAGGAAGTAGAGACTCCACTCTTCAGATACAAATATATATGCCAAAGCAATGCCCTAATTCTCACCTCCTCCAACTATACCCTACCACTTCAGTTACCATTCAGTTAATCCCTATTAGGAGTTTTATTCGCTAATTGGGTTAAGTCTCTTACAACCCAATCATTTCTCCTTTAACCATCTTGCATTGTCTTACATGTGAGCTTTTGGGGGACACCACATCTAAATCATAACAGTGTTTTATATCCAATCTGAATTTAGAGCATAAACACACAAACTGTTAATACTTTAACTCATCAAAAACAATCCAATTGGGCTGGGTTGTGGCTCAGCAGTAGAGCACTCACCTAGCACACACAAGGCCCTGGGTTCAATCCTCAGCACCACATAAAAATAAATAAAGGTATTGTGTCCAACTACAACTAAAAAATAAATATTAAAATAAATGAATAAAAACAATCTAATTTAAAAACAAAATACTTGAATAGACATTTCTCCAAAGATATATGAATGGCAAAGAAGTACATGAAAAGATGCTGAAAGTCATTAATCCTATGGAAATGCAAATCAAAACCACAATGAGACACTACTTCATATCCATTTGGATGTCTATTATTTAAAAAGAAAGAAGCATTGATGAGGATGTGGAAGAATTGAAACCCTGTACTATGCTGGTGGGACTGTAAAGTGGTACAGGCATTGTAGGACAGTATGACAATTCCTCAAAAAATAAAAGACGCAAAAACAATTCAAACAGATATTTATGCTCATGTTTATTGCAGCATTTTTCACAATACTTCAAAGGTAGAAGCAACCTAAATATCCATCAACAAATGAATGTAAAAAACAAAATGTGTATATTATTCAATCTTTATAAAGAATAAAATTCTAATATATTTTACAATATGAATAAACCCTAAAAGATTACAAAAAATGAAATTAGTTAAAATTTATTTTCTAAGAAGGTTGGAAGTGAACTAGTTTGTTATTTTGAAATAACAACAACAAACAAGAATTTACTTGCCTTTTCCACAAAAACTGTATCTTGGGGTAATCAAATAATTGGTGAAGGAAAGTTTGTCTTCATAGAAATATTCTAGCATACAGGGAAAATTTAGAAATAAAATATCACCATTTTGCAACCTCTAGTGAATTAACAGATATTTGCATTATCCAGATAAAGAAAATAGTTTATGAAGCAAATCTGATTTATCATATTTCTCCCATAGATTTCCTTTTTAAAAAAAAAACTTTTTTTAATTGGTAGATGGACAGAATGCCTTCATTTTATTTATTTTTATGTGGTGCTGAGAATTGAACCCAGTGCCTCACACATGCTAGGTGAGCACTCTACCACTGAATCACAACCCCAGCCCCTAGATTTCCTTTTTAATAGTGTGAACACTTAATTATTAACTCAAAATGGTAAGACCCTAAAGATCAAGTTTAAGAAAATGTCTTTTGTAAATTTATAGTACTATTTATACACACTGGTATTATGCTTTTTTTAATTGGGTCTTTTATTTGTGATTGATGGTCAACTTGCAATAAACACACATTCAATGAATATCTTTTATGTGGAAGGCACTGTTCTGGGTGCTGTCGGGTGTTACTTCTGCCCTGAGGAACTTTTGCAATAGTAGTGGGAAGATTCATTTATTGAATGGAGAATATGCCACAAATTTTTCTAGGTACTAAAGATACTGAGA